AAACGTGATTATATTATAGGGTTCATACATTGCCACAACAGAGGCAATTGGTGGAGGCGATGTCACTGTCTGTGTTGATTGTCTAGTGGAGGTTGGATGTTGAACCTTCACAGCAAAAAAACATTACCCATCAACAAGGCATTTGAACACCATTATGGAAGAGGCCAAGAGAGAAACACATAAAGCAATTGAAATAAAGAAGTGACTTCATTCTCACCGTGTTTAAAGGTGTGGCTTGTGTTGAAGAGGCTTCACCTACTGAGGACTTGAGCTACGATGAGTGACACTGCAAATTGATTATTTTAGTCATACAAACTAATGCCAACATATCCTTAGAAAAGGTTGTCAAGTTCCCCCCCCCCACCCACTCCCCCACACCCGAGTACCACTACTAACCATTATAAATTTATGAACCCGATAAAAGCTCGAACAGTAATAAATTCCAGTAAAAACAATATAAAAGTGAGCAAATGGTTGTGAATTAGTTGTGGGATCACCCAAAAGGAACACCAGTGGAGTTAAAAACTAATCTGCATTAGACCTCTTGCACTGTGAACAGTGCTCGAATTCCCAAATTGGCCAAAAATCACAATTCTTTGTTTGGAAAGATCACAAAACTTTAGAATGTGATTAGGCAAAGAAAATCACTCAAAATACCTCAAAATTGGCTTTAAATTTGAACGGGAAGCATTCATGAAAAAGGCATCTTACACTCACCAACAGTCTTGCTGTTCTCCAAAACTTTCCCAGAACTGATCAGTTTTAGTTCACTTGGTTCCTTAGGCACAATATTTTTACCTGAAGTTAAACAAAACAAAAAAAACACATTTGATTCATTAAACCAAGAATATCAACCACATTCATTACCGACAAACCATAGCAACAATACGACAATTTTATTAAACCACAAACAACAATCATTTAACTACATATATCACAAAATTCAACTAAATTTTACTTAAATTCTCAATAAACGTCAAATTAACTAATACAATTTCAACAAAAATTACACCTTAAATACTATTTCACAAAAAAGTAGTGCAATTTTTACCCAATTTCATATTAATTTAAACTCATATTCACCCAATTTGAACTAAATTTCACCACAAATGCACTAAATTTCACACAACTTTTCAATTTCACAAAAAATTACAATAATAATAAAGTGTATAAAATTTTAAAAAAAAACACCTTGAGAAGAAGAGGAGGTCTGGTGGGGGAAGATGGCGGTCGAGACACTCGTAGCGGCAAGGGGTGGAGACCCTGGCGGCGGCGGCGAGGAGGGAGGGAGACACTGGAGGCGAGGGGTGGAGACACTGGCGGTCGAAGGCGCGAGGCTTGGAGGGAGAAACTCGCGGCGCGGTCGATGGCGAGGCGAAGAGAATATCGCCGCGGCCTCAAGCATGCGGCGGCGGCGGGCGGTCAAGGAAAGACGCGGAGGAGATGCGTCAGTCGAAGTTGGGTGGAAGAAAGATGTCTGGGCTCAGATCTGTGAACTGATTTCGTATGTAGATTGAAAAGAGGATAACCCTATGTTATTTAATTATCTGCGACGGAAATACATCCGTTGCAGATCTGCTACGGAAAGTGTATTTCCGTCGCAGATAATGTTCCTTTTCCAGAAATTATTTTTCCGTTGCAGATTCGTTGCAGATCTGCTACGGATATATGTCCGTAGCAGATCTCCCTTGAACGTTTTTCCTCCATATACTATTCTTGTTTCCGTGGAAACAACCAAAATACGGAGTATGTAAACTTTTAAATCTTCATTCCTACGAGTGTAAATACAAAGCATAATAGGAGACTCCGTCGGATAAATTAAAGAGATAGAGTAGCTGATTCCATGTTGGTGTTTGAACTAAAGAGATAGAGTAACTAATTCCGTGTTGGTGTTTGAATTAAAGAGACAGAGTAGCTGCCTCCGTCGGGGTTGGAATTAATTCATACGGAGGGGATACCGTCTTATTTTCGGATAAATTAAAGAGACGAGGTAGCTGATTCCGTGTTGGTCTTTGAGAGACAGAGTAGCTGACTCCGTTTGAAATATACGAAAATTTAATTTCTATTCCGTCAGTCTAAGGGGCTGTTTGTTTCAGCCTCTTAATGGTTCAGATATCTGAATGATTCAGCACTTAGTGGTTCAGACTGTTAGTTTCAGCCTCTTAATGGTTCAGATGTCTGAATGGTTAAGAGATTTGCCTCTGAATGGTTAAGTATTATACAGAGTCTGAATGGTTAAGAGCTCTTATCTGAATTGATCAAACATTTGCCTCTGAATAGTTAAGCAATATACTAGCTCTTAATGGTTCAGACCTCTTACTCATTCAGCACTTAATGATTCAGACCTCTTATTGGTTCAGCACTTACCTATTCAGAAGTTGCCAAACAGCCCATAAGACCCAAAATTAGGTAATCCTCTCTTTTTTCAATTTCTTGAGTAGTTTAATTGAATTGTTCTTTTTGCATTTTTTTAAGGAATATTGCAATTACACGTGTGTATGTTATTTTTTACGGAGTATATGTTTTTGTCATGTTGATGTTGTTCCAATGATTTTGTAGTTTTTTAAAGAAGATTTTGTAGTTCATTTATAGACAATATATCAATTTATGAAAAAAAAAATGTTAAATACATTGCTTAAATTTGAGTAATGCTTGAGTCATAAGCAACTTGGACACAAACCACACAAACTTGTCATTTGTGTACTTCCAAAGTGAATAAAATAATTTTAAATAATTAAGAAATAAAAACTTAAATATGCAAATGACAATTTTGTATAGTTTGTGTCTAAATTGTTTGTGACTCTAGCATTACTCTTCTTTGATTCTTTGAATCTCTCCGTCTTTTAACTCTCTTTTTTTTTCAGTCTCTCGGATGTTTTCCACCCCTAAGATGGGGTAAAATTTTTAAATCAAATTTTGATGTCAAAACTCCAAAAAAAGGGAAATTGTCGATAACCTCTTTCATTCTCACCCATGCACATCATGTTTTATTGCTTTTTTGGTAAATTTCCGACAAGATCCCACTTGGTTAAGCTTTGTACTCCGTCTTTGGCTGTCTTATTTGCCAATTGACATTACTTCAAATAGAAAATACGTAGTATAGTATAGGATTTAAAGTCATACCGAGGGATTATTCTTGGGACATAACAGAGTTGTACAAGAAGTTAAAATTAAAAAATAAAGGATAAGATTGTAAGATAAAATAAAAACGATTGTGAACATTACTTAATGCCTCTATTCACATTCATATATTTTCCCTCTATTCACACACATATTTTTTCTCTATATATGGTACTGTATGAAGCGGAAATAGTGGGACAGAGAAAGTAAAAAAGGACAAAAAATAGTATGACGGATGAAGTATACATTTTCTTAACAAAATAATAAATATAACTACAATCAAACATTTTTTGTTACCATTTCACTGTTTGACGAATAAGGCAGTATAAACTTTATAGAGCCAACCAAACGCCCTTAAAAATAGCTGACCAAACCTCCGGATCGAACACAGCTACTCGACATGCCGTTTATTATATGTAAAAATCTAATCTATGTTGTGAAAGCCAGGAAGGAGGGATGTAATGAAGCCAAAAACAATCATTTGAATCTCCTTCACAATTAGCCAAACCTTTGCCCTCCTCTGCAGCCCCTGGATAAGCTCTTGCCTCATTCCCTCCTCCATTTCCTCCTACAACTATCAAAAAAACAAAAGTATACACACACACACACACTAGCATTTCTCCGCGTGATGCACGGATTTTGGTGCCCGATATAATTTTAGTGTATTGTGATTTTTTGTGATGGCTATTTTAAATTTTTAGCACTTTCATTTTGTTTGAGTAGAGTTAATGATTATAATTTAGATCTATAATTATTAGTCTCAGATAATGTTATAGAATTTAAATTCATTAAAAGGACACATAGCATGTGTTTAAAAGGATACCATTAAAATACTACACCGTGCTCATTTGTAACTGTGATAAAAAGTTCAAATATTTAGTTATTAAGTCATTTTGATTGCTTAAATAGGAAAAAATATAAAGGGACATGGGAAAATAAATGTAAAAACTATAACCCATTCTTGAAGAAGGTTAGCAGAACACAATAGTAGATCACAGATTAATATGAGTAGAAGAAAAGTTTCTTTATATCACTAACTCTTTTTCTAAGAAATGCCAAACCAGACCCAAAAACCGCTTAGAATTCTGCCCGATATGCTACAGAGTTTTAGACTCAAATCTGCCCAGAATTCTTCCATAGGCTACAAAAACTTTGCACAAACATGCTTAAAGTTCTGCTCAGTTTCACGCTCTGTAGTTGGTGTAGAGTTATAAGAAACTTGCTGTTCCAACTCACCAAACTATCCTTGACAACACTTGAAGTTATAAGAAACAAAACAGCCATTTCTCAACAGATCCTAGATAATAGAAAATATAAGCTCATAACTCATGCATCATAGACTGTTTACTATTTCTTACATGCAAAAGAACTAAAAATCAACAAAGCAGTAATGCAAGAAAAAGTAAACTAAAATGTGATGTTCTAGTTACTTAATATGTAGAGCTTAGGGAAAAATGAACAAAGCAGTAACGTACCAGACCGTCCCTCCCATATATAATAGAGAAACTGATCCAAGTCCCCCGGCTCATAAGGACGACCTTTCATATCTATAATTCGATCTCAAAAATATTGAAAGAAAGGTGCCAAGTGAGAAGAAATCAATTGATATCGAAATATAAGATCTAGCTCTTCATTTCTTCATATAAAATTGTATAAGGTTTAGATTAAAGTTTATCATGTACCTTATATTATTTCCTCAGCACAAGTAATGCAAAGTCAACATCCATTTTAAGAGTAGTTACAGGAACATAACAACATTATTGAGAATTTGCAATAAAGCAGGACTTTTTTTTTTTTGAACAAAATGCACCTTCTTCATTCATCACTTCAAACTGTTTTACAATACGTAATACACTTAACAATTTCAACAAGACATTCAATTTAGGGTACTACCCTTAATGAACAAACTCAGGTCCCCCCTCTTTGTCCAGTATGTTGTTGTGGTGAATTGTACCCATTTCATTAACTCCTCCAGTTGTGGCTCTTTCTTATGATGAAACATCTTGTTCCTGGCCCTCCAAATGGCATAGCATACTGCCGCATAGGCACTTATGATTTGCCTCCTCCTTCTCCCCTTAATTCTCATTAAAGATTGCCTAATCTCCTGTACCTCTTCGCCCTCTATTTTCCACTCCAACCAGTTTGAAACTCTATCAAGAAGTTCTTTTGTTATGTTACACTTACTGAATAAATGGTCTTGGTCTTCTTCAGCTGCACCGCATAATTCACATATGTTAATTATATCCATGAATTTAGCTAGTCTTGCCTTGGTACTAACTCTCTCTTCACTAATGAGCCATTGGAGGAATTGGTGTTTGGGTACAGTTAGGTTGTTCCAAACAAATGATATCCAGTTTGGCTTTTCTTTCACCTCCAGCAGCCAGGCATACCCCATCTCTGTAGTGTACCCCTTTGACATATCCATTTTGGTGAACCATTTTCTATTGTTTATGATCTTTTTCCAATAAAAACAGCAGTCACCCCTGATTTCGTAGTTCTTCACCTCCCCTTTAATATACCTTTCATGTACCCATTTTACCCACAAATTTTCCTTATCTTTATCAATATCCCACCAATAGTTGTATACATAAGCTCTATTCCAGTACACCATATTCCTTAGTCCTAGGCCCCCTGCAGTTTTAGGCATGCACACTTCATCCCAGTTAACCAATGGTCTCTTAGTATAACTAACAGAAGCACCCCACAAAAAATTCCTACATACACTCTGTACCTGCCTCATTACCTTTGTTGGGAGAATAAACAATTTACACCAGAATGTCATGATGCCAAAGAGCACACTGCTGATAACCCTGCATCTTCCTGCGTAAGACATGTGTTTAGTAGACCAGGAGGTAATTTTATCAGTTATATTAGCTACCAATCTGTCACAATCTTTGCCACTGATTCTAGCAGCAGATATGGGACTGACTAAATATCTGAGAGGCAGGACTCCCATCTGCAGTTTAGTTATTGCAGGAGCTTTTCTTGAGTTTTCTTATCAACTCCACCGAATACAATTTGAGATTTACCATTATTAATACTCAGCCCAGTTGTTTCTTGAAAGGTATGTAGCACCTCCATAATACACTTTAAGGACCTTTCTTCAGCCTTGCATACTATGATGAGATCATCTGCAAAGCAAAGATTGATAATTTTAAGTTGCTTGCACATGGGATGAAATTTAAAGTCCTTGTTCTGTGCCACTTTTTGTAGCAGTCGACTCAGGTACTCCATCACTAGCACAAACAACAATGGGGACATTGGATCCCCTTGCGTAAGCCCCCTCCTTCCTTTGAAAAACCCATGGACTTCACCATTCAGTTGTATTGTAAAAGGAGTCGTGATGCATTGTTCCACCCAGTTTACAAACTGATGGGGGAAGTTTAGGAGGGCCAGGATTTGGATCATAGCCTTCCAACTCACTGAGTCATATGCCTTCATTATATCTAATTTGATTAAGCATCTTGGTGATATCCCTTTCCTATTATACCCTCTCGTCACTTCATGGCATAACAGCACATTGTGGGCCAAATCCCTCCCTTTCACAAAAGCCCCTTGGTTCTGGTTGACAATGATTGGCAATACCTCCTTTAACCTACTACAAAGTATCTTCGAAATTATTTTGTAGATGACGTTACAACTAGGGGTGGGTTCGGTTTTGGCGGTTCGGTTTTTACCCAAAACCAAAGACAAAACGGAAGGTAAGTTGGCGGTTCGGTTCGGTTCAATTTTACATAAAAAATATGTAAACCGTTGGTTATTCAGTTCGGTTTTATGCGGTTTTTATTTTGGTTTTTTTCGGTTTTTTCGGTTTATAAAAGTAAATATTTATAAGCATTAAAAAAAGTATAAATACTAACTCGGCGAAGCAATAATAATACGTAAGTTTGGGTTTGGTTTTTTTGATTGATTTTTACACAAAAAAAGCCGAACAGAAAGTTAGTGTTCTCGTCGGTTCAATTTTACATACAAAATATGTGTCAAGTGTCTAAAAAACATCTAGAAGATTCCAAATAATTCTAAAGATATCGTATGTAAAATCAATTGCAGAGAAGTTTTGTTTTTTTGAAATAATACTTTCACTTTCATTATAACATCAAAGTTTTTTTATGTAAATATGTTAACTACTCATATTAATTTTTAATGTTATATAATTCTATATTAGGATTAGATATTGGTGCTTATTTTCTTAGGTTTTTTAGAGTTTATAATTCGGACAATATGGTTAAAATGTTTAATTGATAGTTAAGAAAAAAACTTTAATTGACTAGTAATTAATTTGCATTTTTGTTTATATGATTTTTATACATATCACACATACACTCATATAAATAAAATGAAGCATATAAATAAGTTCGGTTTATTTGGTTCGGTTCAGGTTTTTCAAAGTAAAAACCAAAACGGAACCAAACAATAACGGTTCGGTTCGGTTTTTTTACATTCGGTTTCGGTTTTTTCAGTTCGGTTTTTTTTCTAGCTCGTTTCGATCGATTTCGATTCGATTTTTGGTTTTCGGTTTTCTCGACCCAGCGCTAGTTACAATAGGCTATAGGACGATAATCACTTGCAACAGAAGGTGGCAATAAAGCAGAACTACATTTACAAATTGATATATATCTCATTACCACTAAAATAGCTATATAATTGTATTGCATTCAAAATATATGATTTATATATAAGTCTGTGTGTAAACACCAGGTTAAATATTTTAAATATGTAGGCTACAAATAGTAGGTGAGACTATAATTCAAGATGAAAAAAGAAATGGGAAATAACAGTAAATGAGAGAAATGGTTAGATATCCATTTTTGTTCTTATCTCACGAGAATGAAGGATTACATATTTTTATAGTAGTAATAATAATAACTGAATGGGGTTTGGGAGGGCTTAGTGTGTGCAAACCTTACCCCAACCAAGAAAGTAGAGAGGTTTTCGAGATTTTTATAATAATGTACTGTGTAATTTTCAGGACAAAGTGACAAGAAAACTCCAATATGAGAAGCTTTTCTCAATCTAATTATTGGTTCTTTGACTTCTTTCCACGTGCATCCAAAGATTCAACCAAGTATTAATCATTCATACACTGCTAGCCAAGAAAAGATATAAAAAGATTACCACAAAGAGTAATTTAAGCATCTTATAGTTGAGAGGAAAAATGATGCTTAAAAATTATGGATAAGATCGGATTGTGAAAATTGTTTGCCCCCTTTTTAATGCTTATAATGTTTGATCATAGATACAACTTTTTGTTTCCATTCTTTTATTCTTACTTTAGTTTTTTCTTTTAAATTTAATATTTATTATTTTATCCATATTTTTTTACGTATGAAGTATTTTTTCTTTTTATTAGCATCATTGAGCATTTAATTTGAAACTATATAAACTTTCTTTTTGGAAGAATAATGTTTGGAGTTAGAATATTAGATATTTTAATGTGTAACTTTTTTTTGTCCAATAAAATCCGACAAAACAACAACACAATTCCATTCAAAGTGATAATGAAATGAAACCAAAAAATTGATGATGAAAATAATTTTATATTAATATAAAAACCCATGGATCAGCACCAAATAGAATAAGTTGAATACCCTTACCAATAGCTGCTATTAAAAGTATCGCAATGCAAGCAGTAGCTAGAACTATTCCAAGACCCACGAACACTTCGAGTCGATCAAATTATAGAAAACTTTTTAATTCCTGGCTTGTAACACGTTTCAATGGAAACATCACTATCCTCGACACCAGTATTTCCAGTATCCTGCAATATTAATTTCAATCGGCATGGACTATGGTACATTGGTACTAAGTAATTTTCAAGGATGTCCTAAAGGATAGTCATCTACATCCCATGATCAATGACACTTCTAATACAATGGACCTAATGATGTTCTCTATCACCCATTATGTTTAAAACATCTAAAGTTTTACTCAGAAGCTTACCTAATATTTAAGAGGGGATACTGTTACACCAAGGGCTCGCTACCCTAGCCGCACAGACTGCCGGTCCTGACCCGAGCCTCCTACAACCCATCTTAGACTTGTTGGCCCATGACCCGGCCAAGTCCCAGAAAATGAAACCGCATGACCCCACCTGGAGACCTGCACCTGGACTACCCCTATCAGGAATGCCATTGGCCGAGCCCCCTGCCAGAATCCCCCTACTCGACCAACCCCAAGCAACCCCCAAATAAAAAACTAAAATCTGAAACATATTGCATGAAATTACACATCCACTCACCTAGTTACAATAGTTTTTCATATTGAAAGTAGAAAGATGTCATATTGAAGATTAAATCTTCAATTATTGGATCCTCCTTCTGGGTTGTTCTTCCTTGCCTCTACGCACAGCTCCAACAGTTAGTGCTTAGGTTTTTTCTTTTTCCTTTTTTAGACCTACACATAAGGAGGGGTTGTACCCCCTCCCCCCAATCGACAATGAGTCCAGGTTTGATGCTTATAGAACTTTAACGGGCCATGATAAATTTGATAAAAAGGAAGAAGAAGATGATTTCATTGCTTGTAAAGTTTTCCCAACTGAACATTACAAAAGGGGTACAAGCCCCGTAAATAGCCAAAGTCCCTTTCAACAGAAAGCCACCTGGAACCAAACAGTAACCAAAATAACAAAACTAATCCAAGCTAATTACTAGTCTTCTCACCCCCCCCCCCCCACAAGCTGGGTGGAGAAGAAACCATACCCAGCTTGGACAAAAGGCGACGAAACTGATCTGCTGGCATAATTTTGGTGAGCACATCCGCAAGCTGATTGGTAGTAGGCAAGTAAGAAAGTTCTATCAAACCTTCAAGCACTTTTTCTCTTGTGAAGTGACAATCAATATCGATATGTTTAGTTCGCTCATGAAAAACAGGATCGCGAGCAATGTGAAGGACAGATTGATTGTCACAATGAAGGGCGACAGGCTTGAGATTGGAGACCTGAAGTTCTGTGAGAAGTCTGACCACCCATGTTATCTCAGATGCAACCTGGGACATAGCTCTGTATTCGGCTTCTGAAGAGGATTTGGAAACAACACTTTGCTTTTTAGATTTCCAAGATATGGGAGAGCCACCAAAGAAAAGAATATATCCTGTAACAGATCTCCTGGAGAATGGGCAGGAAGCCCAATCCGAGTCAGAGAAAGCATGAAGAGAGAGCTTATCAGAACCTCTCATAAGGATACCTTGATCAATGGTGCCAGTAAGATAATGAAGAAGGTGGAGGGCAGCTTGCATGTGAGATTCATCAGGAGATTGCATGAATTGGCTTAGCGTCTGAACAGAATAAGAAATGTCTGGACGAGTGTGAGTGAGGAAATTTAGCTTGCCAATGAGACTTCTGTAAAGAGTAGGGTCAGAACACTTAGGACTATCACCAGATTGGAATTTAATGTGCTGAGGAAGAGGAGTCTTCACAGAAGGCTTATGGAGACAGTGATGTTCAAGGAGTAATTCCTGAGTAAATTTTCTCTGAGAAAGAACAATGCCATCAGTGGTATAGGTTAATTCAAACCCAAGAAAATAATGGGCAATGCCCAAGTCCTTAATATTGAAGGCCTTATCCAGAAAAGACTTAAGAGAAGAGATTTCTGCTGGGTTAGATCCTGTGAGTAAAATATCATCCACGTAAACAGCAGCAATAGTAATGTGTTCAGCTGTGTATTTGAGGAACAAACAAGGATCAGAATGGGATTGAACATAGCCCTGATTGGTAAAAGCAGTTTTGAGTTTGGAAAACCATTGTCTGCTGGCCCGGCGAAGACCATAAAGAGATTTCTTTAAACGACATACTTGATTGAGAGGATTAGGAAAACCCAATGGAACTTTCATGTACACCTCTTCGTTCAAGTCCCCATGGAGGAATGCATTGTTAATATCCAACTGAAAAATGTCCCAATGGCGTGAAGCTGCTAAAGCAAGAATACATCTAATAGTAGACATCTTAACCACAGGAGAGAATGTTTCAGTGAAATCCAAGCCATATTTCTGGTGATTACCTTGGATAACTAGTCTTGCTTTGAAGCGTTCAAGGGTACCATCAGATTTAAGTTTAAACTTGTATACCCATTTGCTGGATATAGCTTTTCTTCCAGGAGGAAGGGACACAAGTTCCCAGGTTTCATTAGCCTGTAAAGCCTCAATTTCCTTGTTCATAGCAATAACCCACTGTGGATCAGTGGAAGCCTCAAAGTAGGTAGTAGGTTCAGTGTAAGAGCACAAATGGGTAAGAAAGGCTTGATGTGAGGTAGGAAGGGCATTGAGGTGAACTAGATTACACCAATGAGATTGAAAAGCAATGGATGGAGGTTTCTTGGTTAAAGTGGGACAGTGATATTGTTGAAGATAGGAGGGAGGGTGACGGATTCTGGAAGAAATCCTGAAAGGGATAGAAGGAGGAGAAGCTGGAGGAGAATCATCAGGAGAATCAGGAGGTGAGGTAGAGTGGAAATGGGAATTGGAGTGGGAAGGTGTAGTGTGGGAGGAAAGTGGAGGTGTAGGTGAAGGAGATGAAGAAAGAGACTCTGTAGAACTGGAGTGACTAGAAGAAGGATCAATGGATGGTGGGTAGAAAATATTAGACAAATCAGAAGGAGGATTTGGGAGAATAGATTAGGGATCAGAGGAAAGATGATGAAAAGGATAATAGTGCTCATGGAATTTAACATCCCTGCTGTAAAAGACTTGATGAGTATGAAGATTAAGCAGTTTGTATGCCTTTTTATTAAAGGGATATCCCAGAAAAACACAAGGAATGGCATGAGGGGCAAATTTTGTTCTATGGGAGGATAGTGTGGTTGCAAAACACAGACAACCAAATGATCTGAGGTGAGTGTATGTAGGGGCTGTTTGAAAAACAATCTCAAAAGGGGTTTTGTCTTGAAGGATGGAAAGGGGAAATCTATTGATAAGGTAGCAGGCTGTAAGCAAACAGTCCCCCCAGTATTTGACTGGAAGTTTGGCTTGAAAGAACAGAGCCCTGGCAGTTTCAAGGAGATGTTTGTGTTTGCGTTCAACAACCCCATTTTGTTGGGGGGTGTCCACACAGGTTGTTTGATGTAAAATACCATGGGATTGATAAAAGGCACGAGCAACAGTGTCATCAAATTCCTTACCATTGCAGAGCGAATAACTTTGACAGTGGTACCAAATGTTTCTCAATATATTGGATGTAACTAGTTAAAGCAGAAAAAGCATAGGATTTATGGGAAAGAAGTTGGATCCATGTAAGTCTAGAAAATCATCAACAACAGTCACAAAAAATATGTGACCACCATAAGTAGGCATTTTGTATGGTCCCCAAATGTCAACATGTAATAACTCAAAAATGGAAGTAGTTTTTACTGAGCTAGGAACAAAGGAAAGTCTGTGCATTCTAGCTTGTGGACATATATGACATATGGAAGAACAAGAGTCATTACAAGAAAGTTGATCAATGCACTTTATTCTATTGAAAGGTAAATGTCCCAACCTACAATGCCACAACTCAGTTTTTGAGAGACTAAAAAGGAGAAATGAAAGAAGCATGAGCAGTTGGAGGAGAGTGTTGATCCACAAAGTACAAGCCAGCACTCTCTTTACCAACCATCATAGAAGTCCTCTTTACAGGATCCTGGACAACACAATGAGTTGGATGAAAGACAAGGGAACAACATAATTGGGAAACAAGTTTTTGCACAGATAGTAAGTTGTAATGAAAATCTGGAACATGTAAAACATCAAGCAGTTCAATGCCATTTTGCAGAATTACATTTCCAATATGGAGAACACTAGCTTTCTGCCCATTAGGAATAGTGATGAAACAAGATTTGTTGATGGGTTTGTAAGTGGAGAAACTGGTTAAGTGAGGGGTTATATGGTCTGAGGCTCCACTATCAATGATCCACTGAGTTTTATTGCAAGAAGAAAGGAAACAAGAAGCAATACCTGCCAAATGATCACTGCAAGCCATGTTAGCAGAGAGAAAACCAGGCACAGATTTGTCTCCAGCTGTCCAGCATCATGAAAAGTCTCTTTATGAGAGGAAGTCAGGGACATGTGCTGGTCAGTGTTTAAATGCTCAGAATGTACACTTGAGTTGCTGGAAGTGATAGTTCCTGTTTCAACACATTCTTCAGAGAAAGCATTGCCAGCCACTCTCTTGCTTTGATTGAAACTGTTATTTCCTTTGCTGTTTTTGGGGTAACCATGAATCTTAAAACATCTATCAATTGTATGCCCATATATCTTGCAGTGTTGACAGAAAAATTTGGATTTCTTTCCACTTAAAGTGGTTCCAAACACAGGTTTGATATGTTGAACAGAAGCTAGAGCACTGGATTCTGAAACCAAAGGTGCTCTGGTGCTGCAATCCTTCTGACCTTCATCTTGTGTTATCAGCTTATAAGCTTGATTCAAGCTTGGTAATGGTGTCATCATCAAGATATTACCTCTCGCAGTCTTAAAAGAGTCATTAAGACCAAAGAGAAACTGCATCAACAGTTGCTGCTGAAGCAACTTGATATAACTGTTACCTGACACACATTTGCAATTTGGCAAGGACACCATAATAAGGTAACTGTCCCAAAGACCTTTCAGCTTCGTGAAATACTCTGCCACAGAATCTGTACCCTGAACAAGTGTCACGATATCTTTGTGCAACTGAAACATCCTTGGAGCATCACTGTGGCTGAACCTTTCAAACAGATCTTCCCATATTTCCTGAGCCGTATCACAATACAAAACACTATTTGCAATTCAAGGTTCAACAGAGTGTAAAATCCAAGAGATTACCAGATTATTACATCGATTCCATTGAGAGAGCAAGGGAGAACCAAAATCTGGAGTCCTGCAGGTTCCAGTAACAAAACCTAATTTGTTTCGTGCACTTAGAGCGATTTCAGCCGAATGTTTCCACTGCGGAAAGTTTTCTCCGTTCAGTTTCTGAGAGGCTAGGAGAAACTTAGGTGAATCTGATGGATGAATGTACAGCTGGCTCTGAACATCAATTGAACTTCGAGTCGAGGAAGAGATCAATTCGTCTCTCATGTTTAATCAATCGAAGAAAAAAACAATGGAATAGATATCGAAGAAAAGCAAATGGATTAGGACAATTCGATCGAAGCAAAGGAACAGGAATCAGAATGGTCTGAGTTCGAACACTGTAGCAATCGCCATGGAAAATGGATCTGATACCATGATAAATTTGATAAGAAGGAAGAAGAAGATGATTATGTTGCTTGTAAAGTTTTCCCAACTGAACATTACAAAAGGGGTACAAGCCCCGCAAATAGCCAAAGTCCCTTTCAACAGAAAGCCAGCTGGCACCAAACAGTAACCAAAATAAAAACCAAAATAACAAAACTAATCCAAGCTAATTACTAGTCTTCTCAGGCCAACTATGCATAAATTAAGATCTCTACAGCGAACCAAACCACCAACCAAATAAAAATGGCCTCTACTGATCTTCATTAATGAGAACAGGTAATGGATAAAGAAGAACGATGTTACAAAACTTACGGGGCCAAAGCCAAGCATGATTGCAACTGCCATAAACAGAGAGTAGCCAAGATAAAATGTGGCAGACTAAAGTTCAGATTGTAAACATGTGTCACCTAACTAAAATAAATACAAAACAAACACAAAAGTCGCCACACACAATGTCACTCAAACATGTGACACACTGAGACCTAAATTCCATAAACCAAACCAAAAGTTAACCAAAAAAATAAATACAGAGTATATAATTAACAAGAGTTTTTTTTCGTCCAAAAAAAAACAAAGTGAATTTGTTATCGCGGAAGAGGAACTGGACATAGAAACCTTCTTCCGTGAATGGCTTATCTCTACCAAGAAGCTAAATGGCTAATTTTTTAACAGTGAAATTGTTAAGCAAAAATTCAATTAGAATTTTTTAAAACAAAGGCAATTATAATTATTTAGAACTAAGTGAAATTAATCCAAGCAAAAAACATCAATCAAAACACTGGGATAAAAACAATGAAATAGAGAAACCTACTCTGAGACTTTGAAAGGACTTATCTTCATCATAGCAGCTCTGATATTAAAAAAATGACAAATTAATACAATAGAGGAATAGCTTGAATCACGAGAAGTGCAAAAAAAGAAATTAAATACCTCAGATGTATAACAGATCGTTCCTGAAAATGCGTCTGGTTTGGAAATTCTTGATAAAATAACGGGCATCCTGAATTAATTGGTTTATTTGGTTAGCGGTACCTAAGCTACCGATTCAGAAATACTCCCTCCGTCCCAGTGTATTTGTCCAGTTTGACTTTTTCGAGTCAAACTGGACAAACTTTGAGCTTCAATTAAATAAAAACCGTAATATATTTTTACATAAAAATGACTTTATTGAATTTATTGTATTGAGAACTTTCAAAATTGTATTTCATTATGTTGATATGCAATACAAATTGAGAGTAATTGGAGTTCAAAGTTTATCAAGTTTGACTCGAAAAAGTCAAACTGGACAAATACAATGAGACGGAGGTAGTAGGAGACACAAAATTAGAAAAATCCTATGAATCGTACCGTGAAATTTGCACATCTCATATAATTTCCTTGTTATTAAGATTGAGTATGGTGGGTTGTTGATGCTTCACCCGAGAATCAAAAGATAGTGTACGCATCCATGACAGAGATTCAGAAAAGTAATTCAAATCGTACCAAGTATGGTGGGTTGCTGATGCGTCGTTGGGAAATCTACGTATTAGAATGATAGCAGGGAATGAAGACACAAGTACACAACCGGTTAACTAAATTATTGCAGTCAGACTATATTTGCATGGAGATTTGCGGATGCTGGGACTACAAATAGACCAAGTAACGTTATAAGGGTAGTTTACGAGTAAGAAACCTGGGTACAACAAATAAAGCGCTGTGTATCAATTTTTTTAACGGCAAAACTACATTTTATTTGAGGGTACCTAACCATGGTAGCCATTTATAAGATATGTAAGATATATATATATATATATATATATATATATATATATACACTCCCTCCGTCCACAAATAAACTTTACATTACGCGTTACGATGTTTGACTGAAGTTATTTTCAAATCATTTTATATGAAAAATGGTGTAGAATTGAAAAATAAAAATTACATATTAAAAAACTATATCAAAAGATCTACAAAACTAGAGGTGACATGACTATATTATTTTATCAAATGGGTGACGAAAATAGGCCAATAAAGTGAATAAAGTTTGACCCTGTGAATAGTGAATGTAAAGTTTATTTATGGACGGAGGGAGTATATATATATATATATTATATATATATATATATATATATATATATATATATATATTAAATTCATGTCAGGTATGTTGGGTTAATTATACAGAGACGTAGAGAACAATGCAGTTTAGAAATTTTTAAATGTATATCGTATCTTGTGGAATAACAGATGCGGCTGTTAAGCCAAAACAATAGGCACTAAGAGTAGGCTTCCCATAGAGCTAAAAGTTGATTGCTTAAAGCACTATGGTTGTTCACTTCTGAACTAAATGGTAGCTAACTTAAAGCATGTTATTTTTGCCTTAATTTTAAATGGAATCTGAAAACTGGAATGTGTAGTTGGCAGTATAGATGCAATAATTAAAAAGAACAGGCCCTTAGAGCTCTCTAGTCAACCGGCTAAAAGCTAGAGATGGTGAACTTGTCTGTGCAATAAATTAAACATACTCTCGTTCCAAAGTCTTTTCCATCATCTCCGATGGAGCCAAAATTTCACCTGTTTTTGGCTTTGGGGTGTGATGGAATAAATCAAAATGGATATCTAAACTATCTGCGCTTCTTTAATTAATGAAGTAGCAGTTAGTCAAACACTGCAACTTTCGATGTTGAGCCGGGGGTCTCTTTGGAAACAGCCTCTCTACTTTCGAGTAGGGACAAGGTCTGCGTACACACACCCTCCCCAGACCCTACTCTTGTGGGATTTAACTGGGTTGTTGTTGTTGTTGTTGTTGTTGTTGGGTATGACGGAATAAATCAAAATGGATATCTAAACTATTTGCGCTTCTTTAATTAATGAAGTAGCAGTTAGTCAAGTAATGCAACTTTCGACGTTGAGCCGGGGGTCTCTTTGGAAACAGCCTCTTTACTTTCGAGTAGGGGCAAGGTCTGCGTACACACACCCTCCCCAGACCCTACTCTTGTGGGATTTAACTGGGTTGTTGTTGTTGTTGTACTCTCGTTCCAAAGTATTCATCCAATTTGATATTTTTCAGTGAAACAGAGCAAATTTTTTTATCAATTAATATAAAATTGATTTCAATAGATTTGTCTTGAAAAAAATTTCCATAAATTATTTCATTATACTAATATGCATTTAAATTTTTATTTAATTAACCGTAAAAATCATCTTGTTCAACTGAAAAAAGTCAAACTAGATGAATAATCTGAGACATAACGTTGCTAATATTAAATCAAGCTAAATGATAACTTAGTGAGCATGCAATAATAGCTACACCTTGAACAATAAATCTAGTATAAATTTCCCCACCATTTGTGTTTATCGCATCAATTAAAAACTTGGAAGACGGAATTGTGAGAGACACTGCAAAGGCACATGGTAAATCCTTCCACTGTCAAGGAACCAACTCAACTAAAAGCTCAAGCTTGTGGTTGTGGTTAAGGAAAAGTTTTTATACTCTGACATGCCCCCTGGCGTGTAGGCGTGGCTGCTTCGAAGCTTGCACGTGAAACCTTAATTTTTTTAAAAAATTGGGTTAGGCTAGCTACCACTTGAGGGGGCGTGTTAGAATATAAATAAAGAGAAATAATACTAGCATATATAGAAGGGTGAAGCACTACATATCAGTTTAAGCTTTTAGGTTAATAGTGGATTCCAACTTTATATGCAAGTGGTTAATTTTACACGACACTCCGCCCGTTGTTCTTGGCCCAGTGGAATTTTAGTATGGTAATAGGGTCTTATCGACAAATAGATCACGAGTTTAAACCTCACCACCACCAAGTTTTAAAAAAATTAAGGTTTCACGTGCTAGACTCAAAGCAGTCACGTCTATAAGTGAAAGGGCATGTTAGAGTATAAAACCTTTTCTTAAGCCACAATCACAAGCTTAAATCTTGGTTGAGTTAGTTCTTTGTAGCCATGCCATAGTGAGAACAACAGCACCGTTTCCATATTTATTTTGGTATAGGACTCTATCTCACAACTGCTTCTATAGCATCCTTCACGACAAATGTAACTATAACATCCTCTCAACAATTCGCTTGATTGATCCGATATGTTTGCATAAATTATAACTACTGCACTCTGGTTATTTCAACTGGTATCTAGGAAATTAGCTTAAACTACTAGCTTAATTTGATCAGTCATCATGAGAGATATTGAAGAAGGTACCAATGTTTTCAAGCCTTTTCTACTACACGGCCATGATTACCCTTTTCGGAAGGGTCGAATGAGAGTCTTCCTCAAGTCTCTTGGTAGAAATGTTTGGAGAAAAAGTAGAGCACGGATGGTATTTCCCCACAATGACAGATGGGATGGATAATTAATTCGAAAAATGAAGAAGTTGTTGCAGAATTCATCGACCAAAGGTTTAAAAAAGCCCATCAAAAGTTGAAATTCTTAAAATGAAGGAAACTGAGTCCATCATAAATTTTCATGGGCGAGTTAGAGAATGGGCAAATGAAGTTGAAAGACTTGGTAACCATTTGCGTTGAAACATCTACGTTCTTTTTTTAAAAAATCTCTATAGATGTTAAGACAATCAGACAGTCACAAGATGTCAGAATCATGTCTCTTAATGAGCTTATGGGAAACGTAGAAACAATTGAGTTGGAGATGAATGAAAACACAAGTAAAAAGCCGCGTCTCATCCCTGTTGAAAAACATGATTCAACTGAGGTAGATAATCTTAATGTGAAGGATGAAATTCAAGAACAATTGCATATGGTTACAAAGGATCTAGAAAGAAAAATGGATTCAAAGGAAGAGTAAAACTCAAAAGAAGGAGAGGTAAGCGCCATAGATGGAAATAGATGACGATGAGAACACTGAAACAATCTCTACTTTCTCATCCTTCTATAATGATGAAGAGGTCTCCGGTGATGATATTGATCTCAGGGAAATGCTTGATATCATTGAAGCAAAATGACAAGAGTCTCTACGGGCCAACAAGAAGATTACCTAGGAGAAACAAAGTCTCAAGATAGAAATTAACAATATCAAAGAGAATGCAACTCACAATTGTGAACTTGCACAAATATCTTAATGTGTGGATGAGTAAAAAAGAACTGTGGATGAGTAAAAGTCCTGGCCCAGACGGTTTCTCTAGTGGTTTCTTCAAACACCAATGGAGGGTAGTGGGTGAAACTGTGACCAAAGCAGTACTAGAATTCTTCCAAGATGGGGTCACACTTCAACAGATTAATGCTACAAACATATGTCTAATTCCTAAGGTGGACAGCCCCGAAAGCCCTAAGGATTTTAGACCTATTGCCTGTTGTAATGTGGTCTATAAGGTGATCTCTAAGATCATTTGCAGCAGACTCAAGGATGTCTTGGCCCACCTGATAAATCCTAATCAAAGTGCTTTCATTGAAGGGAGAGAGTTGGTACATAATATGCTTCTTTGCCAAGAAATGGCCACGGGTTATAACAGAATGGGGATCAGTCCCAGATGCCTAATGAAACTTGACTTAATGAAAGCGTATGACTCTGTTAGCTGGAAAGGATTATTCCAAATTATGGAGGGGCTGAAATTCCCAAGAAAATTCATCTCCTGGATTTGGTTTTGTGTTACCTCAGTAGCATATTCTGTTCAGCTTGGAGGAGAATGCTTTGGGTATTTCAAGGGAGGCAAAGGAATTGACCCAGTTTCTCCTTTGCTTTTTACCCTTATAATGGAATATCTGACAAGGACTTTTTCTTACTTTGCCAAAAGGAGTAAGTTTAAGTTTCACCCGAGATGCAAAACACTCAATCTGATTAACATAGTCTTTGCAGATGATCTTATTGTGGCATGCCGAGCTGATACAGATTCTGTAGGAACCATTCTCAACTGCCTTGCACACTTCAAGAACACAACTGGCCTGCAAGTCAATTATGATAAATCCCAAGTGATAGTGGGGGGGGGGGGTTCCTGATGACCTTCACAACAATATCTTAGCCCAAACAAAAATGTCCAGGGGTTCCTTTCCTTTTAGATATTTGGGAGGACCAATTACAGATGCTCGCCTTAGTGAAAGGGATTGTGAAAAACTGGTTGAAAAGATCACACTGAAAGTTACCTCCTGGGCAACCAGGCACATTTCTTATGCTGGGAGAGCAAGATTGATTAATTCTGTTTTATATGGGGTGATTACCTTTTGGTGTAGGATTTTTATTCTGCCTTGCAAGGTAATGCAGAAGGTTATGGCTGTTTGCAGAAACTTTCTTTGGAGTTCCACAGCAAGCTATAAGAGACCCCCTCTGATAAACTGGGAGGAGGTCTGCAGTCCTAAGCAAGAAGGGGGATTGGGGTTGAAGAACCTTCAGGTATGGAATAAAGCTTGCGTTATGAAGTTGGTGTGGGACATAGCATCCAAGAAAGATATTTTGTGGGTTAAATGGGTACATAGTCGATATCTGAAGAGGAAAACTATTTGGACTTATGAATGTAAGCCTGATGACTGTTATTATTGGAAGAAAATGATCCAGATCAGAAAAGATTTTGATGGAATGATCATAGACCAGGGGTATATCGTCAAGGAAGGATACAAATGGCTTACTGGATCCCAAACTAATGTGATTTGGGCTGATCTGGTTTGGAATAGATTCTCCATACCTAAACATCAATTTATAGCATGGCTGATTTGGAAGGGTAGAATACTTACTAAGGACAGGCTAAGTAGGTTTTTACCAATTGATACAATCTGTAGCCTATGCAACAAGATGGAGGAGACTGCTGACCATCTATTTTGCAGCTGTCCTTTTGCAAAGTAATAAAAGGTCGTATACAGATACTAATAGGTCATACTGTACCTTCGATTAAGGTAACGACTCGATCCTGTCTCTTACTTATTCCCTTCTTTGTCTTCTCTGTCCTCCCGTTAACGACGAACACAACAATGGACAACAATGAAGTAAACCTTTCGATGAAACTCCAAGCTTCACAACAAGGAGATGACTGTGGTGGACACGCTGAAGACTATCAAAGAACACTTCAATATTATTATGGGTAACTAGTCTATGTTTTCACGTTGTATGCTGGTGTTAAGTGTTGGTTCTTGTTATTGTGTGTTTCGTTTTTGTTGTATTGGAAGCTGTTCTTTGGAGTTAATATATTTTTGTGCTTTGTTCAAAAAAAAAAAAAGAACTGTGGAACAACCCACAAAGGAGTTAAACAAGTGTAAGGATGACACAGTTGAATAGCTAGCTATTCTCAAAGAAAAGTAACGAAGCTTCGTCAAGTCGAATAGAAAAATGTTATGGAGAAACAACTTACTGTTGAACAGATTCAACTCAAGGAGGAGCTCGAAACTTGAAGACTTGATTGATCAACAATCTGACACGAGATACGGACTCAAACAACTCAGGGATTATCTTAATTGGGTGAAGAGTGCCAAAGCTGAAGTCATTGAAAAACAAGACAAAGTGTCATAATTTGATCAAGATCGAAGCAAAATTGGCTTTGCTAGGCAAGATAAGATCATGACAACTCATGACCTGTTTGTTCACAAAAAGGGAGGCAGAACAACTCATGGGAAATATGTTGAACACGTCTGACATGCTGCAGCATCTCATGCCCCACCTACGGGAAGTAAAAAGATAGGAGTAAAGAATTAGAATGATAGAATACCAATGCCTAAGCAAGTGAGGTACTCATGTTGGAACTTCCATGCAGATTATGATTGTTTTTGCTGTGAAAAAGAGACACATTAAGAGGCAGTGCAGAAAATTCAAGGAGCAAGTCTTTAGAAAAAGACACCCATAAGATTTGGGTTCCCAACAATCAAGTCAAAATAGTTTCAAAATCATGTGTGAAAGTTGCTCCTGAGGTTAAGAAACAAATGTATCTTAATTTGTCCTTAGAATTGCACTGATCACTCCAACTACATTAATTCCCAGAGCACCCTGTCTTTCCACTTATTTTAATAATTGTGCTTTAAAAGTTAGAAATTCATTTATTTTTATTTTTGAAATTTTAAGTAATTTTTATGACTTAGTGTCAATATTTCAAATAAACAAATTAAATATGTAGAAATTTTGAAAAAATGTAAGATAATTATGCGACATCATTAAAATTTGTTATGATGGTATAAATCTATACAAAAACAATGAGTAGTAAGCAAAAAAATATAATTATAATTTTATTTTTATAACACTATATTTTATATTAAAATGTATGATTCTGAAAAAATCTTAGATTAGCAGGTCGATCAGGTTGGGTTCGAATTCGGTCAGGTTTGACCCATTTTTAGCAGGAAATCTCGGGTTCGGTCAACTTCGGGTTCGGTTAGCAAAACCTTTGCTCAAAACCCAATATTTTCGGATCGGATCTCGAGTCAAAAACAGGTCGGGTCATTTTTTGCCAGGTCTAAATTTGTAACATACTTTTTATCTACATTATTCACTTTATTACATCACATGGAGAACAAACATTGAAAATCTTTATGTTTTTTTTAAACATTTTTTAATAAGCGTGTGAAATCAAAATGAAAAAGAAAATTATGGATGGAGGAAGCCTTTGATAAATTTATTTAGTATCATTGACAAAGGTAATTGATGTATGATTTTTATATTATCATCATGAAAGGAAATTCATTTTCCCATTCGGTTTTAATCCGTTACTTGGTAAGGTTTTTAATTTTCCCACTTGAGTTTTTGTTGCTAAGCCAACACCTTTAACTATGTATTAGCACCATTGATTGATGTATGGATCAATCTACAATTTTTCTACTGTACAATTTTATCTACAAGTCGGCATAAGAAGGGAATGTTAAAAAAATTGTAAATGGTCTGCTATCGTGTATAGAGAATTTATATTAGAAACTAAATGTTGTAACTCGTGTATTATTGGCCCACCAGGCTTCTCCATGTAGACCCTATCTCCACCCTATTTATAGGGATGTTTGCTAATGATAGTGGTGGGTGGCAACAAAGTGGTAGCAGTTGAAAAGTATATCAAACTTGAGATTGATATCTTCCCAATTCAGAAGATATCAAAATACCTACATTTGAAAAGGTTGCAATATTTGAAGTTATCAAAGCAAAATTCTCTTTAGACTTTACCAAACATCACTACAAAAATCATGATATCATGACGTGAAATCACTGTGGTAATGTGACACTGTACATGTATTTTTTTTAGAAAAAACACTGTACATGTATAGATTACTATACTTGTTGGTAATGCACTTTAGACTTCACCAAACATCACTACAAAAATCATGATATCATGACGTGAAATCACTGTGGTAATGTGACACTGTACATGTATTTTTTTTAGAAAAAACACTGTACATGTATAGATTACTATACTTGTTGGTAATGCACATGGCCATGTTTGATAATGTAAATGCATTTTAACTCGTATTTCGAGAATAAAAACATGAAAGTCTTATTTTAGTATATTTTTAATATTTTACTCCTACTTTTGTCTTTTCCCTATCATGACATACCAAAACTCAGATCTCTTGGACTAACTAAAAAGGCGATATAATATAAATATCCACTCCATTACTTTGTTTTTCACCTCTCAAAACATTGTGAGAGTATAGTTAGGGAATATTGTTCCTCTTTTCTTGTAGACAGGTACCTCCACTTTGAAATCAATAATGCTAGTACTCCCTAGCATTAAAAGAAATCTCATTTGCACCCAATGTAACATGAAATTATGCAACTATATTATATATTGAGAAAATAATAAGTACTTCATTGATTAAGTCTAAACCAAAATTATGTAACCAAAATCCCATTCCAACTTTACTGTTTCACATCAAGTTATCTACCAAGTCAATTATAAAGCTGGTCTAATAAGCTTTGTTGCTGCTGGTGCTGGGCAAACAGTATAGTGGATGATCTTATCAATCATCAATGAAAACCTCACATGCATTAATCACTTTAAAAACTCCTTTGACGTCTGAAAAACAATAGACATGCAACGATCATTCTTTCTCTCTCTCCATAAAAATAAAAAAAACTGTTGTGTTTGGTTCTTTCAGGAAGTAATTTTATATCCAAATAACAGATGCTACGACATAATACAATTCATTAGCAATTTCACTTGTTTGGTTATTTGTGAAGAGGGAGAACGCGATTTTAAAAAATAATAATCTAAAATCGTTGAAGAAAGAAAGATGATCTATTTAAAATGGAATAGTTAAAAATCTTGTTAATATGAATCACTCAAGAGAGCGCTAAGATAAAATTGTACAAGGTAAAGTGATATCCACGTTACTGTATTAACTATTGGTTGGGGAGTTTGGAGGTTGAATATTATTTGTTGTAGGGTAACCCTAGTTAGGAGAGTGCTTACCTTTGTGCAGGGGCCTCAGGAATGACTAAGTATTTGTTCTTTTGGTGTTTGTTGTGTGGCCTTTGTTGTTTGTTGGCAGCTTTTCCTCGTTCCGTCCTTTTGTGATATCGGTTGCTTAGCTTTCTTCTATACTTCCCTCATATGCCCCCCATTACTAGCATCTCCTACTCTTCTTTCCTTTTAAGTTTGTTTTCTGAACTGGGTGTCTTCTCTTTGGGTAGGGGTACGGTTTGCATACATCTATTCTCTTCCAAACCCCACTTGTGGGATTTACTAGATTGTTGTTGATATTGAGATACGTGAGTCGCTCCGTATTGGATTTACTGGATTATTCTCCCTTATTTGGAGGATCGTCTTCCCTTTAGAAAAAATGCTTTCCTGCTCAAGTTTTAATCTAACTGTGAAAAAATAGGGACAATTTTCTGAGATCCTTCCACTTTCCCCTAAACCAAAAAACAACTCAATACTTGCAGCTGTTTTTGATACTCTGACAAATATATGAATGTGAATAGAGGGAAAATAAGTATTTCAAATACCAGCTAACTTTCTTCAATACATCCCTGCACAGGAGCTCTTTTCCACGGCAGTTCTCCTCAAGATGTATGAGATAGACCTGCCATTGAAGGGATATGCATCAAGTTATATGGCATGATCAAAGTTATAGATAAAAGGAATTAATGGATACTATCTGAGGAAAAGGAGTTAATGCAGAAAATAAAAGGATCACTCACAATATCTACTTAAATTACGAATTTCAGATGAAAAACTATTCAGTGTCCCGTATCTATCATCATCGTCAAACTCAGTTCCAGATTCTTTTTCAGAAGTTTTTATAGGCTGCTCATCAAAATCGAAAGATGCTATCCCAGAGTCTTCCGCTACCTTCATAAGCTAAGAACCATTAGTAAAACGAAGACCATCCCTGTACCATTTGGATTACACTTTTGTGAATTGACACCCTTTGAACTAGCACAAGTGTTGGGCTCACCAAAAGTACCATCTTAGGAATACAAGCAATGTTCATACAAAAGGCAGCTCTATCATATTGGGTTCAAATCTCCAACAATATATCTCATAAGGGCAATCAAAACATACCAACATAAACGGCTATCAAACATTATGTAATAGTTGGGTCCCAATTTTAATTTCCAATTGAGTTTTTTCCATACCTACAATCTGATTTATGAAAACTGTATTAGTTTTCAACTTCTTTAGACTAATAACTCACAAAAATTGGCATATATGAAGAATACAACATACTGAGACTCAAAAAAATAAAATGTGAGTTGGTGGGGGAGTTTGTTGAGTAAGTATATGGTACAACCGGTTGTACCTAGAGATAGGTACATCCGGGTAGTACTCATTCTAAATTAAAGTAGTACTCATTCTCGCACAAACATAACAGTTTATTTGAAATAGCGTGGTACTCATTCTGAAATAACATAGTACTCATTTTGAAATACGTAGTACTCATTTGCACACATTTGTACAATATTCATTTATGAATAACGTAATACTCATTCTAAAACCTAGTGGTACTCATTCTGAAATAATCTAGTGTTCATTCTCAAACAACATACCATTCATAAAAATTCAAAATCTTACAAAAGACCAAATTGGAATTAGAACATTTGGAATTAGAGCTTTGCCTACCAAATCTGGAATCGCGGATCTGGAAAGCCCTTCTTCGCCGATTGATTTGGCAGATCTTCTTTCTTCATCCCGACCGATTTTGCCCAAAACTGCCGCCGATCTCCTTCTTCATCACCTCAGATCTATTTCGGCTTCCGCAGCTCTCCTTCAAACGCAGCTCCCTTCCTCCGACCCGACCCGATTAGGGGCACCTTTTTCTCCTCCGATCGATGCCTTTTCTTCTTGATTTACCGGCTGTACCCTATTTTGGGTACAGTCGGTTGTATGGTATAATTTGCGGAGTTTGTTAGCATGAAAAGATTAGTATGACAATGCTAGTATTTATAACCTAACATAGGTGACAGTATAATCCAAACTCTGTTGGGGCCTGAGGGGTCAATATGTAACTAATGTAAGCAACCTTACCATGTAAAAACTTCATAGAAAGTGAGAAGAGATGTTTAATATGGCATATTTATTTTGCTCATTAATTACCAAAAGCTAAAACATCATGATGAACAGGGACCAGACTTTGCTAAAAATAATAGGGAGGTGGCCACCTCCGATGGCACTACCTTCCTCTTGATGAGGATTGCTAGTGGGTTGGTTGGCGTTGCTGTGTGTCTGCACCATATCATTTTGCTGAGGTTTTCCCTGAGTTATATATCTCAAGCTCTCAATCAAAGCACCAATTTGATGGACAAAACTCCACAGATGACCCAATCCGGAGATAGGGTCAAATTATTATTATATGTTTAGAGGTTGAGAGTACAGTGCAATTCGCAAGGTTTCGCACGATATTATTATACGTTATACATCTTCGGAAATTAAGAGATAAGGAAGGAGGATCGCGCACAATCATCACCTGATCTGTAAAAGTCGCCTGCTTACTCGTACCCTAGCCGCAGCGTCTTTCTTTTGGTTGCGTGTCCGTCACAAACCGGTGTTTCTGTGGGCCGGGGCAATTCTAGCCCAATCCTTCGCCTCCAGGCCCAGCACTTCAGCAGGCACAGCTGGACTATGTGGGTTACGAGGGATCTTCGATTTGGGCCGCTTGACTGGGCCGTCGGCCCATCACCTAGCAAATCGATTCTTTTGGAAACATTACTTAAATACTCTCTCTCTGTCCCAGAATGGATGCCACTCTCTTAACAACTTGAAAAATCTCATCAATTTAAATCATTTTAATTGCAAATTAGTATGTAAAGAAAATGTATAATTTAGAGTATTCAAAAGTACATAAAACATTCTACAAAACAATAGGTGACAAGAGTATTTTAATTTATCAAATGATTAATGAAAACATACAAACAAAAGTTATCGAGAATTAATAGTAACACGGGAACCCAGAGGGAATATAACAACTTTTTCATTTATTTTAAATACTCTCCATCCACAAATAAACTTCCCATTGCGCGTTCGGAATTACGATGTTTGACTGAAGTTATTTTTAAATCATTTTATATAAAAAATGGTGTGAAATTTTAAAATAAAATTTATATACTCCGGTATTAAAAAACTATATCAAAAGATCTACAAAACTAGAGGTGACATGACTATATAATTTTATCAAATGGGTAACGAAAATAAGCCGACAAAGTGAATAAAGTTTGACCCTATGAATAGTGAACGAGAAGTTTATTTGTGGACAGAGGGAGTATTGTATTTAATCCAAATGTGCGTTGGCCTGCCTGTTTCTAAGCAAAGGTGGGTTTTAGGCTTATACTTAAACCTAATTTAATTTGAAGTGAGCATGCCTAATATGAATGTTGCATGTTCATCCATTTAATTCATCTATTGAATTAGAACAAACTCTAACTATTTCACTTTATGTACGTAGAGATGTTCAAAGACAGATTATTACCTAACACTCACCTTTTGGCCTTTCCACTTGTAAGAGTGAAATATTACCAAAGCTTTTCACATTTTCAACCTATGTAAGGGTAAAATAATTTCAATGTCACAAGAGAAGAAGGTGTTGCGTGATATATGACTTAGTGATTTCATGCAGACTTTGACTTTAGTGGTTGCAGCAAGTGGCAGTATAACATGTTTACGTGCTGGGAATCGAGGCTCTAAGCGTTACTCAATTAAAAACTGTCATCCTTAGTGCATAATACGGGTGCTCGGCACAGTGGAAAAGCATTGATAATCATAATTTTTATTGTCGCTGTCACAAATCAACGTGAACAAAATCTAAGGTTGTTATATGGAACAAATAAAAACTATTATAGTTGAATTAGTCCAATAAATTTTTTATTATGTAATTTATAAGCTTTATCATATAATTACTTTACATGTCTATTAATTCATATATTTAATTTTCAAGGATATTAAGTCAATTTGTTTGATGATGATGAAAGTTTTCATCATTTTTGGAAATAAACTACATTTTATTTAATATATCATTAAAATTCAATTTTAATATTAATTATCATCTACTAATGAAGTGTTGCAGCATGAATGTAAAATCAATAAGGAGTGAGGGTTATTAAAGGGAGGTGTGAGAAAGTACCGGCATGTTTGTATACGGGCTACGGGATCAAAGAACATGAAGTATCATCGATGTTTAGAAAAGATAACACATTGGTCTCTAGCATGCATAAGAAGGAAAATTAGAAATAAAATGAGTGGTTGGCTTTAAACATTAGATAATTATTTAAAACTTATTTTTTATATTTATATACAATTAATAAAAGTATTATTATTATTATATAAGAAGTTAACATCATAATATCACAAATAGCAGTTTACCTTGTATTGTTATTGTCAATTTATAATTCTTTGATTTATTATAATACATCAACAATGCATGTGAAGCTACATCACAACTAAATTAATGAAGATGAACGAGAAATGTTAATACTATAATATTCAACAAGAGACCCCTCATATGAATATGACGAAATAATTATTCATAAATCTGTAATCCGTGACTTATAACTTCAGACAATGTAGTCTAATTTGGTAGCACTAGACATAATATTGTTGCTTCTTATTCATTTACATATGTGACGCGTCATCCTCAAGCCATGGAAAATTTATGGAGTCTACAAAGTATAAAGATAGAAATATTTATGTTGATGTCTCATGTTGTTGGGTAGTTGTATCATTATCTCAAGTGCATTTGTGGTCAAATCTGCGTTTAAGAGAAGTATTTAAATCCTTAACTTTTTGATAAATTTCAAAATAGGTATATTATTTGAGTCAAATTTGAGAGGTATTGCCCTTAATTTGACTTTTTTTATAATCCATGAACAATGCCTCTTCATATATTATGAGGTATCCTCGAGTACAACTTCACTTCTCATTGCATAGAGTCACTCATTTAACAATTATCTTGTTTACATGAAAGAAGTTGATGTACCTAACTAGCTAAACAATGACAAAAATTGTTTCCCTCGTTACATGTTTAACTTTGGCTCTATTCAAGCTCAATCTCAAGTCCCTCAGAAAGCTCTTCTACAAGGGTGGGTGTACCATATCCGTACATTGAGCCTGAGCTGAATTAAAGTTTAACATATAAAGAGAGAAATTGTTTTTGCCATATATAGCTAGCCAAGTACATTAGTTTCTTTCATTCAAACTGAATAGTTTTAGTGAGGGACTCCGCATAGATAATTGATTCTTAGCTCTAGGAAGCAATGGCAATATATAGCAAGCCATTGTTCATAAAATATAAAAAAGCCAAATTAAGAATTATGTCACAAATTTGGCCTAAATATGCTTATTTTGAAATATAAAAGTTAAAGATTTGGTACATATTGTCTTCAAAGGAGATTTGACAACAAATGGACTCGATATAGTAATGCAACGACCTAACAACATGAGGCGTCAACATAAATGTTTCTGGCTTTATACTTTGTTGACCCCAGAAACTTTCTATGGCTTGAGGATGACATGTCACACATGTAGATGCAAAGGAAGTAATAATACCAGTTCAAGTCTTACAAGATTAAACTAGATTTGCCTAAACATATAAGTCATGAACTATAGAACTATCAACAATTAAATCAAAGAAAATTTCAAAAGTTGCATATATATCATATTCATATAAGGGGCTTGTTGTTGATTGTTATAGTAACAACATTTCTTGTTCAATTCAATAAACTAGTTGCAATGTAACTTCACATGCATTGTTGATCTGTTATAATTAAGCACGTATTTTGTAAAGCGACATTGGCAATACATAAAAAAGTGAGCGGCTATTTGTAAGATTACTATGTTAACTTACCATACAATAATAATAATAAAATTCTTTTATTTATTGTATATAAATATAAATAAATAAAATTTTAATAATTACCTAATGTTTGAGGCAATCACACATTTTATTTCTATCTTTCCTTCTTATGCATGCTAGTGACTGACCTGTTATCCTTTTTACACATTAATGATATTGCATACTCTTTGATACCGTATACAAACATTCTGATACTTTCACACCCATCCTTTCAATAACCACCATTTCTTTCCCAAAGTGTTTTTTATTCATGCTGCAACATTGCAATTAAAGATGCTATATAATATAAAAATTAAATTTTGATAATGGATATAATATTTTAAAATGTACTCTATTACTAGATATGATGAAAAGTATCATTCTCAAACAAGTTGACTAAATATTCTTAAAAATTAGATACATGAATTAACAAACGTGTAAAGAAATAATATGATAAAATGTATCAATTAATGAATAAATAAAATTCTTTGATTCACTCAACTATAATTATGTCTTTATTTGTTCAATGTAACAGGCTTGGATTTTGTTCATATTTATTTGTGGTAGTGACAATTTGAAAAATGTGGTTATCAAAATTTTCAATGTGCATCCACCAATACTAATGCACCATGGATAACCCTATTCAATTGAGTAAGCCTCAAAGCCTCTATTACCCGCACATAAAGTAATAAACATACCACAATGCTACATCGACAATCTCTAAAGTTAATTCCTACGTAAAGTCACAAAGTGTGGTATAACATAACATCATCTTCTCTTGCGTAATTGAAATTATTTTGAATCACTTTCTCTTGGACTATAAAAGACTCTCCTCATTATATTTAAATAAATGGCGCAATTTGTAGTTAAGTGAAAAAGCAAAAAAAAGACCCTTAGGTGTAATCCCTCTTATTTCACTCTTACACAGGTTGAAAAAAGAAACATGTTTACTCTTATTAACTAGTAATAATGCACCAAATATGCCGTAATCAATCTAACTCTGGACCAGATCGAGACCAGACCAGGACCAAATAAGGGCTTAGGGCTTATCGATGGACCATAATACCCAGACTGACCCATCGAGACATGACCA